GTGAGTCCCCAAAAAATAATAACATAAAATAATAATAATAATAATCAAACAAACAAACAAAAATCAAGGAATTAAATTGCATTATTTTTGTAACTTCTTAACTGTTTGATTTTTGTATCACTTTGAGGTTTGATTGTATGGAGATGTTGCAAGTTTTTGATGGTGAAGCTTTGGATCTCCTTTAGGAGAGGATCTAATAATAATAATAATAATAATAATAATAATATATTTAAATTAAATATAATGATAGTATTATTTGATTAAATAATAATACTAAACTTTTAAAATTAAATACAATATAGTATTAATTAAACAATAATACACTTTCTTTATAAGCCACATAATATATTTAAATTAAACTAATAATAATAATAATAATAATAATATATTCAAATTAAATATAATGATAGTATTAATTAAATAAATAATAATACGCTTTCTTTATAACCCACATAATATATTTCAATTAAACTAATAATAATAATAATATATCCAAATTAAATATAATGATAGTATTAATTAAATAAATAATAACACACTTTCTTTATAAGCCACATAATATATTTCAATTGAATAATAATAATAAATTAAACTAATAATAATAATAATAATAATATTCAAATTAAATATAATGATAGTATTAATTAAATAAATAATAATACACTTTCTTTATAAGCCACATAATATATTTAAATTAAACTAATAATAATAATAATAATAATAATATATTCAAATTAAATATAATGATAGTATTAATTAAATAAATAATAATACGCTTTCTTTATAACCCACATAATATATTTCAATTAAACTAATAATAATAATAATATATCCAAATTAAATATAATGATAGTATTAATTAAATAAATAATAACACACTTTCTTTATAAGCCACATAATATATTTCAATTGAACTAATAATAATAATAATAATAATAATATATTTAAATTAAATATAATGATAGTATTATTTGATTAAATAATAATAAATCTGTTAAATTACATAGATAGCATTAATTAAATAAATAATAATACACTTTATTTATAAGCCACATAATATATTTAAATTAAACTAATGGTAGCAATATAATAATAGTAATAATAAACTTTTTAAATTTTTTAAATTAGTTTTTTTATTAATTTTTTAAAAATCAAATAGAATTATGTGGGTTATTTGTAACCCACATAATATATTTAAATTAAATATACTATCATTATATTTAATTTAAAAAGTTAATTATTATTATTTAATCAATTAGTGCTCACATTATATTGAATTTAAATATATTATTATTATTACTATTATTATTACTATTATTCTTTGAGCCTCTCCTAAAGGAGATCCAAAGCGACCATCCATACAATCCATACAATTAATTAAATCAATAATAATAAACTTTATTTATAAACCACATAATATATTTAAATTAGACTAATGATAATAATAATAGTAATAATAAACTTTTTAAATTAAATATAATGATGGTATTAGAAAATAATAATACTAAACTTTATTTGTAACCCACATAATATATTTAAATTAAATATAATAATATTAAATAATAATATTTTGTTTATAGCCCACATAGTATATTTAAATTAAATATAATGATAATATTAATTACATAATAATAATGAGGTTTATTTGTAACCCACATAATATATTTAAATTAAATATAATCATAATATTAATAAAATAATAATAAACTATAACGCACATAGTATATTTAAAGTAAATATAATAATATTTAATAATAATAATATCTTATATATAACCCACATAGTATATTTAAATTGAATATAATGATAAAATAATAACAATAACAATTTTTATTTATAACCCATGTAATATATTTAAATTAAATAGAATGATAATATTCATTAAATAATAATAATGAACTTTATTTGTAACCCACATCATATATTTTAAAAATAATGATAATATTAAATAATAATAAATGTATGTATAACCCACATAATATATTTAAATTAAATATAATGATAATAATTAAATAATAATAAACTTTATTTATAAGCCACATAATATATTTGAAAAAATAATAATATTAAATAATAATAATAATAAATTTTCTGTATAACTAACATAATATATTTAAATTAAATATAATAATAATAATAATGATAATAATAAACTTTATTTCAATGCCGTAAATAAATAAATAGCAAAACAACCGAACAAATACTCAAGTGATTGAGTAAAACATGCTCAGTCCAGATAATCTTTATTTAATAAGATAGAAAGCTAGATAGATAGATAGATAGATAGATAGATTAGCCCTTAGGCCATGTCACCAAACAAACAACAAAGCTTGATACAACTTAATAAAACTCTTGTGTACTAAGTCCAATAAGACACTTATAATAATACAATCAATAAGTATGATGGAAATTGAATATATACACCTTATTTCCACATATGTGGGGCCGATCGGGGTAAATCGTGAGGAGGGAAATAGAGAAGAATACTATTTAAATAAAATAATATTTATTTATTTAATAATATTAATAATTTAATATTGCGTGCTTGCAACCTATGGGGCAGGTATGGGCAAATAGGTTGAAAAGCATCCTCTCCTTCGAAAGAATGGGCCAAATGGGTCTTGCATGGAAATCCTAAAACATAAAAGGGAGAAAAATGTGCCGAGGGGCAATTTTTCGAGGGGGAAGAGGAGGAGGAGGAGAGAGCAAAGGTTTTCCCATTCAAGCGGATCCCTGGGAATCTCACATCCCTGGGGCCAGCCATTAAGGTGGGAGGGGGTTGGGAGGAAGAGGAAGTCCCGTTAGCATGGGAAACGTGGGAAAAGACCCATAAGGGTCATCCAATGCAACCCCCTTCTGCTGAGACACCATCAAAGCCCTCCCGACAGATGGCCAGCCGGCCTCTGCTTAAGAACCTCCAGAGAAGGGGAGTCCAGCATCATTATTATCAATTATTATTATTATTATTATAGAATCCTAAAGTTCTAAGAGACCCCTAAGGGCCATCAATGCAACCCCCTTTCTGATGAACACCGTCAAAGCCCTCCCAACAGATGGCCAGCTGGCCTCTGCTTAAGAACCTCCCTAGAAGGGGACTCCAGCATCATTATTATCAATTATTATTATTATTATTATTATTATAGAATTCTAGTTGGAAGTGACCCCCAAGTACCATCCAATGCAACCCCCTTTCTGATGAACACCATCAAAGCCCTCCCAACAGATGGCCAGCCGGCCTCTGCTTAAGAACCTCCAGAGAAGGGTACTCCAGCATCATTATTATTATTATAGAATTCTAAAGTTCTAAGAGACCCCTAAGGGCCATCAATGCAACCCCCTTTCTGATGAACACCGTCAAAGCCCTCCCAACAGATGGCCAGCTGGCCTCTGCTTAAGAACCTCCCTAGAAGGGGACTCCAGCATCATTATTATCAATTATTATTATTATTATTATTATTATAGAATTCTAGTTGGAAGTGACCCCCAAGTACCATCCAATGCAACCCCCTTTCTGATGAACACCATCAAAGCCCTCCCAACAGATGGCCAGCCGGCCTCTGCTTAAGAACCTCCAGAGAAGGGTACTCCAGCATCATTATTATCAATTATTATTATTATTATTATTATAGAATTCTAAAGTTGGAAGAGACCCTCAAGGGTCATCCAATGCAACCCCCTTCTGCTGAGACACCGTCAAAGCCCTCCCGAAAGATGGCCAGCTGGCCTCTGCTTAAGAACCTCCAGAGAAGGGGACTCCAGCATCATTATTATCAATTATTATTATTATTATTATTGAATCCTAAAGTTGTAAGAGACCCCCAAGTGTCATCCAATGCAACCCCCTTCTGTTGAGACACCATCAAAGCCTTCCCAACAGATGGCCAGCCGGCCTCTGCTTAAGAACTTCTCCAGAGAAGAGGACTCCAGCATTGTTATTGTCAATTATTATTATTATTATTATTATTATTATTATTATAGAATTCTAAAGTTGTAAGAGACCCTCAAGGGTCATCCAATGCAACCCCCTTCTGCTGAGACACCGTGAAAGCCCTCCCAACAGATGGCCAGCCGGCCTCTACTTAAGAACCTCCAGAGAAGGGGAACCCAGCATCATTATTATCAATTATTATTATTAGTATTAGTATTAGTATTATTATTATAGAATCCTAAAGTTGTAAGAGACCCCAAAGGACCATCCAATGCAATCACTTTTCTGATGAACACCATCAAAGCCCTCCCAACAGATGGCCAGCTGGCCTCTGTTTAAGAGCCTTCAGATAAGGGGACTCCAGCATTATTATTATCAATTATTATTATTACTATTATTATTATTATTATTATTATTGAATTCTAAAGTTGGAAGAGACCCCCCAAGGGTCATTCAATGCAACCCACTTCTGCCGAGACACCGTCAAAGCTCTCCCGACAGATGGCCAGCTGGCCTCTGCTTAAGAACCTCCATAGAAGGGGACTCCAACATCATTATCAAAATAATAATAATAATAATAATAATAATAATAATAATAATAATAATAATAATAATTTATTATTATTATTATTATTATAGAATTCTAAAGTTGGAAGAAACCCCCAAGGGTCATCCATTACAACCCCCTTCTGCTGAGAAGCCCTCAAAGCCCTCCCAACAGATGGCCAGCCAGCCTCTGCTTAAGAACCTCCAGAGAAGGGGACTCCAGCATTATTATTATCAATTATTATTATTATTATTATAGAATTCTAAAGTTGGAAGAGACCCACAAGGGTCATCCAATGCAAACCCCCTTCTGCTGAGACACCATCAAAGCCCTCCCGACAGATGGCCAGCTGGCCTCTGCTTAAGGACCTCCAGAGAAGGGGACTCCAGCATCATTATTATCAATTATTATTATTATTATAGAATCCTAAAGTTGGAAGAGACCCTCAAGGGTCATCCAATGCAACCCCCTTCTGCTGAGACACCGTCAAAGCCCTCCCGAAAGATGGCCAGCCGGCCTCTGCTT